CTTCCATGGACGATTCGTCGCCTAACCCATCGCGGTAGTCGACCTCATGGTCGCGCAAACCACGCCCCTGCCACCGACGACCCCGCGAGAGGTATGACTCGGCTTCCCGGCGAAGACTGGCGGAAGTACTGACAAGCTTTTTCCAAGCAGTCATAAGACTACGAGGGCCGTCAATGTTCTTGAACTGAATAGTGTCACCGCGGAGAACAGGACGCCGTGTGCGACCATCGCCGTGTCGAAAACCGTAATCCTCCGCAAGGTCATCCTGGGCGGTGCCAAGCGCCCAAGGGTCTGAGGACTGTCGGATGTTGTTGTCAACTTCCATGGGGTCAAAGAGCACTGTCTTGTCATTCGCACAGTGCGACCAATACCGAATCCCACGGATTGCCTCTAATAAGTTCGCCAACGTTGCGTCATGCTTCACATGACTGAGCTGAATCCGCAACTCCCGAGGGAGCTTACGGAATAGTTCTGCAGCCTTCACTTGATCCGTCACGTCGCTACATGTCTCCGCATAAAGACAATAACGGTCCATGAAATCAATCCATGGCTCGTGTGACTTGCGCGACATGCGCGCCAAGTGGTCCTGCTGTGATAACGCATTATGGGGGAGGAGGGCGCGGACCTGCTTGACCAACTCTTCCCAGCGGGTTTTCTCGGTAACCCCTTCCCCCCTCGTATCACGAATCGCTGTGGCGAGATGGGCGATCCTCCGGTGTGGCATCGAACCCGGCCGGAATTGCTTCAACAACGCCCGTACGCGGTCACTAAACTTCTCGCCTTTGGCCCCCCAAACTGCGGCGTCAAAGATCCATGTAACGGTTTCCTGTGTGAGTGTAGTCAGAAATTCCCGACCCCCATCCATGGTTGGGCCAGGGTTCCGTTCCACACCACCAATGAGCAACAACTGCTCAATAACCGGCCGTTGGTCTTGACTCCCCCCTTTCTGAACTACTGCACCCTTCTCCTGGCTGATGGGAAATTGGGGCTGGTTCTGACTGGCACTACGGTGCTTAGAGGTCTCCTCTTCACAGTTGGCATTTCTGGCCCCAATACAGGTGATACCTTCATTTTCTTTATAAAAACTGCCTTTGTCCAGTACTTTGTGCCTTATAACAGTCACACCAAGGCGAAAATCGCCCCTTAATTCCATTCGCCCGGAGCCCCCCTCTCCTTCCCTTGACCTTCCACCAAGCAAATCCCCACATTTTTTTTCCACTTTTGCATTTTTTGCGCCACATCCCCCTCCCCCACACCCCCCACCATTTCCCCCGTTGACAGGAAAACGGGTCTGGTGACACCCGTTGCTGTAATGGACAGCGCGATCGATCGCGCCCCCCCCGCCCCTCCGGGCGCTGCCACCCGAAGGTGGCGCGGCTGGACAGAAGCCGCCCCCGCCCCCGTCCCGGGTGACTAACCCCTGACCGTCCCCCCCGCCGCTTGCATTGCCCCCCGCACTGACATCACTCCCTCCCCCGCGCTCCTGGTCCCCACCGGCCTCCGAGGTCGCCCCCCCCGGGTTCCGCCACCCCACCTTTCCGCCGTCGGCCCACGCTCGCGCGTGCCCACCTGCCGTCCACGGAGAGGAGCCGCCGTCGTCCGCGAGGGACCCGCCATGCCGCCATGCTGCGGCCATCACTTGCCAGTGGCCGGTAAGCCATCTCCATGCTTTTTCCGTGGCTCCCTTCGTAGCACTTGCCGAGCCGTGCGGATCTCTCCAGACCGCCGAGTCGCGCTGGCTCCGCCGGTCCGTTGAATCGTAAGGGGTCCGCCCTTCCGCCGGGTCCGTCTCCGTGCTCCGAATCGATGGGTCCCCGCCATCCCCCGCGGGCATCGCCGTGCTGCGCCTTTCCATCAGCTCCACCGGTCGCCGCGGTGCCTCCGGTCGGGGGCCTATCGTCACGGCTTGCTGGCCGGCCGCATCGAATCGCCTCCATGACGCTCCAATGGGCTCCGCGCTCGCCAATGGCTCGTTCAGTTGCACCCGTCCGACTCGCCCACCCCGCCGCTCAACGCGCGTCATCCTGCGCCTCCAATCGTCTCCTCGCCGCTTCCTTCGTCGCACAATCCGTGGCCGCCCCTGCTGTGCCAGTCGGCGGGTCGCTGCCCCCGGAAACAGAAAGGTCGCAGCCCCCATCCCGAGTGGGGTAGGGTTAGGGGCGTGGCCCGGCATCCACGCCATCGGATGCCCGGGCCGTTGGTACGCCAATCCCCTGAGCCTCCATTCTCCATCCCTCCACCCGACCATGGCCGCTTGGAGAGAGCCATGTCGATCCCACTCTGTGGCCTCCACCCGGCACCTCAAGTCCACCATCGCCTCCCACAACACCACCACCCCGAGCACCGCCAAAACCATGGCGGCGCTCGGGGATTGAAAAACGGGATGGCGGCGTTTCCCACGCCGCCATCGGACACCTGGTCCCCCAGGGTCCGTTCCCGGCTCCGAAACCATATCGAGTTGACCGGTCTCTTTCGCACACACTCGCACACGGTCGCTCCCAGGCACGGGAAGCAAAACCGTAGCCGGATGCATTACAGAATGAGTGTATTGACTAAATACCAATCACCGCAATAATTCCCCATCTCCATTGTCCCCATGTATTTTCACCATAACACCATGTCCACCACATTTACTTTCCACCATCAAAAACACACCATATATCATGTATTATATATTAACCGTTCACTTGCCCTCACAATAATAATAATAATAATAATAATAATAATAATAATAATAATAATAATAATCATAATCAGCTTCCTATCTTACCATAGCAAAGCGACGTCCATGATCTGTTTGCGGCATCTGAGCGTCAACGTGTTGGGGCACGGAGGTGGTGTGCATTGTTGCCCATGACCGCGACTATGTGTGCTGGAGGGCAGTCTGATACCTATCGTTTCGGGACACGAGGTCATGAAGGGGTCAAGGGACATGAAGCCCAAAAGGCCAATGCGCTAAACCCGAAAATGAAGCTCACAACCTTCATGACTTCATGTCTGGAAAGGAAGAGTATTGGACATTTGTGGCGTGCCAGGTGGAATTTCGCCGTGAAATGAACAAGCCAGCAAGGGAAACGAGAATACCGTGGCTGTATTCAAACCTTCCGCAGAGTAACGTAATGTTTGGCCTTCTCTTGCGGAGAAAACGATGGAATCCAATTGAATCAATTTCAATCAATTTGAATCAAATTTTCCGTGGAGCAACGTAAAAAAGTTAAGAACAACGCTCTGAAACAAAAATGCGGAGCCAAAAGCGCAACGGTACATTTTTTGATGCAGATAGGTTGAATACACTACGTCAGGGGAAAAAACCGTTGCCTTGATGCGTGGTATTTGTCTGACGTGACAGCATGAAGGTGATGAACGCTACCATGACCGCTGATGTGCATTGTCTCCACTTTCTTTTTTAATGTCAAATGTATTACACTACGGTACGAACAGAGGAGCTCCCCCACAAATCGTGAAACACAACAGGACCTTTTTCCAGCAAGCATTGTCCCCACTTGTTGCTGCCCGCGCCTCAAAGGCACCCCTTGTGCCAGAGACGCGCCCAAAAGGGAGAAGCCGCCAGTCCACCGCGTTCCAATGCACGTCGCTGCACAGCCCCTCTCAAAATTGCACAAACTTTTTGCATGCCAGGACCAAGGGCCTTGAGGAACGGGTTTCATAGTCCACCCTCCAGGCCCAGGGCCCATTGTCCACCAGCTGGAAGGCAGGCGACCAGTGCATCGTTCTTGGGTCGACACTCCCCATGGCCTTCCTCTACCAATCAGCAACGTCGCAGTGCCCATCGCCGTTCCAATCTCCATTTCTATCACCATCACCACCACATGCCACCGCCACTGTCTAACAGCTTGATCACCACAGTCCAACACGTCACCCCCCCACTAACCCCCAGGGAACCATTGCCAGCCGCCTTCTTCCACACACAGCATGCCAGATCCGCGTCATCAAAACCTGCGCCACTCTGATTGATGGCGCCCAGTGCCAAAGGCGCTTGGTGATGCTGGTGCTATCTTCCCTTGAATGCCAAATTCGGTGTCAGGGCACTTTGTGGTGTTGTGCGCACAAAAAGAACTTGCGAGAATTCCATCCCGACTGGGAGATGTCAGGGCCTCCGCCACATAGCCAGCACAAGGGCTTACCACACTTGGAGGGGTGCAAGCTCCGCCATCGACTGGCGGCCGGGCCCATATCCTACTTCCCAGGGTTGCTTCATTATTCATGCAGCCAGATGGGGCAAAATTGGCTGCATGCGCCTGCCATTGGCACAGCTCAATGCCTCCCTGGAAGCCAACCTTGAAGTCTGACCCTGCCAGGGCTCCAAAGGGCAAAAGCCCACCAGCAGCTGTTGGTGGCTCGATCGATGGGGCGTGGAGCGCCGTGCTGTGTCTGCCCGGCCAGCCTCTGTGGGTCACTTCAAACGGTGCCTCACAGATGCCTCATGTGTTGCCTTGGGGGCCCCAGGGTCATCTCAGCTGATAATTCGAGAAGCCGAAGCCATGCTCCACCTTTGCGTGGGCCTATCCAAGCACACCAAAGCCACACATTAATCACATTATCACATTAATCACATTAATCACATTAATCACATTAATCACATTAATCACAACTGCAGCAGGAGGCTTGCTACATATCACACCACCGGTACATTAACAATGGCAAACCTGCCCTGTATTTCAATTGGCATTTGCGATGATTCTTCTGCCTGATATAATTTGGAACAACAAATTCACCAGGCTTGGGGGACATTAATCATGCAGCATTGTCTGACCACACAAGTGGCGGGCGGACAAATGGAAAGGATAAGGGACAGAAGAACATTCTTGGATGCATGCATGCCAATCATCACCTACAGGGTGCAGGGGCACCAGTTTGGCTCATCGAAGGCGTTCAAAAGGATCATGGTCCTTGTTCCAAACAATCGAAATGGGCCCAAGACCTAACAGTATTCCTGTGTGCAGCCTCACTCAGTACATTACTTGATATTTGGAGTGGGTTCAATGCTCAAAGAAATTTCGATATGAAGACAGGCTGTGAGAGTGGATCACCCGAAGCTCCAGCTCCTGATACGGTTGGCTGTCAGGGTCATAATAGTATCCCCAGATTTCACCTGCACCACACCCACAACTTGTTTGAGGCAAAACGCAGTGAATGGGCTTGCTTTGCCGTGCGACAAACCATATAAACTTCCTCTTTTCAATCTGCTCTGCTCCAATATCAGCCTCTGGGGTTTAGATCTGAGGGAAAGAGCAACACATCAAATGGAACACAGACAATAGAATATTCCAATCAAATGATTTACATACATTGAAAAGGAAGGTGCCTTGCATCACCAGACAAATGCAACTGCTGTGAATCGAATTACTTCAGCTCAGTTTAGCCCCCTTTCCAACAGTCTACTGCAATCTCACCATTCTGTCGTGATAGGCAGACATAGTAGAAGCCCTGGATGGTCAGTTGGCTTTCCTCCTGCTTGCTTATAAAGAACTTCTCCTGCAGCAATGGCCATTGCAAGTAAGCAACAAAAGACTGATACCTGCTCGACACATCGTCACAACTGCAGCACAACCCCAAATATGAAGAACATCTGGTGATCCAGACTAGCCTTCTTGTGTCTGCCTGGATGTGGCAAAGTGAATTCTTTGCTCCGCATTAGTCTGGCCGGGCATTACACAAGACTGTACAATTGAATTCCGTGATGGGCAGCTACCAGGCAGAAAAGCGGCTACTACTGAGTATTTGCAGTTCCTGTCCTCTTGCCAATGGGCATACAACAGCAAAGAATTTGGCCAGTGAAAAAGCATCCCAGGGTCAGGGCCCCACGAAAAATCAATCTGGCAGCATACGCTGAAGGAGCTAGGAGTACCAAAGGCGGAAGAATTTCTGCTCACCACCAACAGCCAGTACGTTGGCCAGAGTTTAGGCTGAAGAACCACACAACACATCCTTGCACTTCTCATGTGCCAGGCTCTGATAACAAGAATCAAGAAACAATAATGGTGACCTCATCACATACCTTCCGCACTATGGAGGTACACACTAGGTCTGATCTGTGGTGGTTGTAACATAATAACAGCATCACTGGAGCAGAGCAGCGACCATCAGAAACAGGAGACGATTCTGGAGAACCCAGCAGCGGCATTACACACCTGCCTCATGAGGAGGAAGGGCAACTCAACCTCATATCCTAACATATCTTAATCATAGAAGTTCAGTCCTGTAGGGAGAGGTGCCTTGATTAGCAAATCCCTACAAACCACCCAATAATGATGACAAAAACTAAACTTGTAGCGAAAATCAGAATCAAGATACAGTACTGCCCTCCCCCCCTCCCCCCCTGCCCTCGATCCCCCTCGCAACGCACCTTCCACCTCATGAAGATGTAAGGGAAGTCTTTGAGCTGCCCACAGCGACCACCCTGCCTTGCCACCCTGCGTCCCAGCTGTGCAAAAGAGCCAAACTTGCGCCAGTATTCCAGGTCCGTTACTTGGCTGGCATCCCACTTGTTGGTGAAGAAGCTGTGGTTATGGTTGTCCACGATCTCTCCCTCCCAGAAAGTGACCACAGGCGACTGGGGCGACACGTGGGCTTTCATTGTTCCGCACACGTATCCCAGCTCCGAGGAATAGCACTGCAGGAGCACAGTTGCACGAACAAGATTGGCGATGCGCATGCAGCTGCAGGTCACGAATGAGCTGTGATTTGTCATTTGCAACAAGCCGACATCGCAGTGAGCGAATGCAATAGTTAGCTGTGGGAATTTTGTAATCGTTTTGTGTGAGTTATCCATCTCCGATTCACAGCATGGTATGACATAGCAGTAGTGCAAAATTCTGCGTAAACAATGCGTATGCACAACCACATATGTGCCTGGGTTTAGTACACCTCTAATTTCTGTATTTACACCAATATTGTCATATGCACATTTACTTTCTAGTCGATGTTTAGCATGTTGATATATGCAAACAGAAGATGCTCCATAAGTTGTGGTGAAGCAATGCCCCTATCACCAGGATGCTTCAGCAACCTATGGGAGCATTCTGGCTGACTTTAAAAGTGCATGCAATGCAGATACTGGATTCATGGGCTGCTTTGCAGGAGGTGGCTCACGTGAATCTGGACGCTGACTTTCCATGGGTTGTCCACATGTTCAGCAAGTGACCTAGAATGGTCCTTTGTGCAGCGCTGCACACCATGGAACTCCTGGATTGCCCAACACACAGCACATTAGGAAAATACAAAATTGAAATGCAGAATGAGCATGAAACAATACAAGAGTCAGGGCAGCCAGGAACATCAGAAAACATGCAGATGAAGCAAAGCTGTGGTTGAATTTTTTCGTGCTCCTCGCCCTGCTTCCCACGCATGCTCCTGGGGAGCCCAGCAGGAGTTCAAAAATGGATGACCATGTAGTGCACTTGCCCGCATTCGATGGGCTTTGGTACACAAACTGATACATTTGTGGGTGTCTTTATTGTCAATTTGCCATTTCGTTACTTTGTGTTTCTTCACGTTTTAGTCAGTGGTATTTTGTTCTATCATTAACTAGGGTGATAGAACAGCAAGGCACTTCAAACGATTTGTCAATGCACCATGTTGACGGGCATGTACGCACCTTTGGTAGACTGCACTCTTCCATTTGATGCAGTTTCATGTGCCATTCGATCCAGATTGATTTGGTATTTGGTGTCCTATGAATTGCAGATTCCTTTCCACACTATGGAAGGTTTCTAGCGCAAGGTTTCCTTTTCGTATTCTGCGTTTTATATATATACTATTCTGTGCTCTATATATTCTATTTCTATTCTGTGTTTTATATTCTATATGATGCGCCACCACTTGCACAAAAGTGCAGGCGCCTGCCAGCATGCCACTTGCACAAAATGCAAACACAGCAACCAACAAGCGCGGGGTTTTCAAAACCACCGACCAACAGTGTCAACACCAGAGCGACACTTAAATACACAAGCACAAATTGCTACTACACACAGCAACACAATAGCACATAACTACTCCGAGCTGTTTCCTGAAACTGCTGTGCCCCGCTAGTCTTTAGCTTGCATTTTTGGTTTGCGATTTAGGGTGCACTGACCACCAAGGGGCTTGAGACTTTCAGCAAGAAACAGCATGGACTGGATGCTTTGAAAGAACATCCATTTGCGGGCTCCACCTCATGCTACCCATCAACATTCTTCTTGTTCACGTCCATGGTTCGCACTCTCACATCAGGACGTCAATGTGAGAGGCAGGTGGATAGTAGCACAGCGTGCACGACTGCCTCTACTTCTGTGCACTTGTGCAAGTCTGCCTTGACTGAACCGTAAGATCTGAAAAGAGACTGCCCTAGCAACTCCTTGCCAGTGGCAAGCCTTCTTTCCAGCCTCAGGATTGTGTCCCACACATTCCCAGCAATGCAGTAAAGGCCATGCATGAAGCACTAGCGATTCAGCCCATGCAACCACATCCAATGCTGAAAAAAGCGCGAAGTAGATGGCCACGTCTTTGGCCACTCACCGTGCCAGCACCCAGGAAACTGCTTTGTTGGGGCATCGAATAGTCCTGTGGCAACATGGCAGCCCAGTGAACGCACATGGAAGAGCAGATTCACTTGCAGACACATTCAATAAGTTCTGCACGTCCCCACAACGTTGGGGCCAACATCGCTTGTGACGCCCTGGTGAAAATAGGCTGCAGAAACACAATTGTGGCTACACACACTCTCTTCATGTTTGCAGTAAATTACAAAGCAGAAGCACGATTTCCCGCAACGTCCAGTGTAGGAGGGGTGCCTGTCAAATCGCTGCATGCCAAGCACAACAGCACATTCATGCCCTTGAGACCAAATGTGCCTGACTCACAGCCCATGTGACCAACCTCTGTGCCTGCATCGCTGGATCCTAGATCATCCTCTGAGCTCGTTTCTCGGCTGGCTGATGGCATTTCGATATATGGCGGATTCAAAAAGGGGCAGGGAGGTGAGCTGGGGACCCCGCCAGCCTGAGACTCAAACAGGGGAGTCAGAAGGGGAGCTTGCCACTCTCGGGACCTGAGCTCCCTCTGCAAGGCAGGTTGCGAAACAGAGACACCAGTCAGGAATCACAAAGCTGAATCCCGCTCTGCAAATCGCAAACACGGCCCAGGCTTCGAAAAGAACTTTCCCAGTGAGCAGGCAGAATGGTTTCCAAGGATGTACGTGTTGGATTTCAGCTTGTTTCCTCAACTACGTCTCAGTGCATTGCAGATGGGTGGTGAGTAGACAGAAAGAACAGATGAGGGACAGAATGTTCAGATGCACACACGCTTAGCCTCACAGGCAAGGTGCAAGCACCTGTTTTGTCTTCCAACGGTAAACTCAAACCAAGCAATAGAATACGATGCAATAACTGCTATGGGCACTCCCTGGCTGCAACTGGCCAAGCAGAAGGATGATGCCCTTGTGTCATCAGTGATGTCCTTTTTGCGTAGAAACTCTGTTTGCCTAATACTTAAAAGACCAGAAACTGCAAGGAGATGAGCCGTCAGCCATTATACTGTGGTATAGTGTTTGTATTGCTGAATGACAACGTTGTTGTTCGTTTCGAATAATGTCTACTATGAACAGTGTTTCCAATGCTGTTGCTCAGGAGGAGTGGCCAACGTGACCACATGTGCAAGCAGGGGCTGTGGTATAAACTGCAAAGCTTCAGAATCGCCGCCCAAGCAGAGTGTTGTATCAAGCACTTAAGCCCACAGGACTGCTAGCACCGCCACCCTGCCCGTGCCACCCCCTTCCACAACATCCAGCAGCAGACAAGGTGCCTGATCGTACCACACACATCCGTGCATTCCCGATTCCCAACCCAGTCCACAAGTGTGTGTCCTGTTCTTCACCACGGGCATTCCATCAACAACCCAACACATTATAGTGCCTTCTGCTCCACACACCCTTTCCCACACCAAGCAAAACTCCACAGCCACCCTCTCCGCTCTGGGCTGGCCCCCTTTGGCATGAGCACAATGGACACTGACTTCCATGAGACGTACGTGTACATCGTTTTGTGAACGAGGCATGTAAATTTCCTGTTGATACATGTAAGCTGATTGACAAAACCAACAATGGATCGTCGCCCAGCACACACACACACACACACACACCACCAGTGCTTGTTCTCTTGCTCTTCATGTGGCCTGCACTGTGTGCTCATCTTCCCGCTTGGGAGACCAGCGCCTCATCCTTTCACAGTATGGCACACAGTTGCACACATTTACTCACAGGAAGCGATCGTTGTACGGCCTGTTTTCTTCCAGCCTGCAACCAATCTCCCTCCTCCAGCCCTCCCACCCAAAAACCCCGCACGCCAGCAGCCGTTTCCAGGCTTGACAAGCAAAGTTCTGCCCTCAACTGCCCCTACTGTCTGCTGGACAAGGCCTGTTCAGGTTGCCGAGGATCCATTGCACTGCCCCCTCCCCCAAAGCTCAGAAAGGACAAAAAAACTTGCTACTTTCAGGGGATGGACGCCAAGCAATACACCGATTCTGAACACTTTTGGAAGCTTGGGCCCCCTTTCCCAGTCCCTCCAGTATCCCCTCCTTAGCATCCCCCCTGCTCCAATCCCCAGCCCTTCACACATCATTCCCCGATCCACCCCACCAACCCCTCAGCCACAACCTCGCCCTGGCATTCAGCACTCCAAGCGCTTCCATGAACGTTGCAAGCAAATCCATCATGCCAGGCGTAAGTGCACTCACACCATGCCCCCAAACTGCCACGCCAGTTGACAAGATCGCACCCCTGAGCAAACAGCCATAAGGGCGCACCAGAGCGGGGTGCAACAAACTGCCCTGCCTCACCCCTCCCACCCCTCTCCAAAGCACGACACCGACCACCCAAGACACCGATCGCCCACACAATGCAACCCAGCCTCCACCTGTCGCTTCATATCATTTCTTCACAGCATGAAAAAGGCCTTGCAGACACTCGCTTAGCAGGAGGTGCCCTTTGCATGACCTGTTCCTTTCCCATGTTGAAAAATATCTTACTCTGTCACCCTCACCATTTCACACTTCATTTCGCGTCGGAGATTCTACATCAGCTTTTCACAGCATGGAAAGGAATCTCGCTTACGCTTGCTTAGGACGGGGTGCCCTTTTGTATGGCCTGCTTTTTGCTCTCTTTGTAACACACGTTACCCTGTTGTCCTCCCCCCTTCGACTCTCCGTCGGCGACTGCAGCCCAAGCCACCCACCAGGAAGCAACCCCTCCATCGGCCTACAATTGGAAAAAGAGACCTGCACACCTGTGCAAGGAGGGGTGCCCTTTGTGCGCCCTGTTTCTCATTTTCTTTGAGGCAAATCTTACTCTTCTTCAGCTCTGCAAGGGGATCTCTGCCCGCCATTCCCAACGCCTGGCCACCCCACCCCCAGCCCCACGCACCCACCTACCCCACCCCACGTCACCCCACCAGTTACCAATAAGCATGAAAGGTGATCCGAAGAAAAAAGCCGCACAGCTGCTCCAGAGGGCTCCAAGGTACCGAATAACCCACTTCTGGCAATCTCTGGTGAGCGATTTCTGGCGGAACTGGCAAGGGGGCCGCTGCCCTCCACAGCCGTCCGCCTGGTCATCGCCAGGTCTCAACAGACACGCACCATTCCGCCACCTGCCTCTCCCCCTCTGGCCCGATCAGCGTCCCCACACGAACGGCCCTCCAAATGTCCGCAAGCAGGCCCTGCAAGCAACCCCGCACTTCCGCCCGCGACCCCGCACAGACACGCCACGTTGACACCTGCCCTTCGCTCGTGGGCAACCGCTCCATTTTGTCTCGGGCCTCCCGCCAACAGTCAATTCTATTAATAGGGGGAAAATCGGGACTATTCCTGGCCATCCTGTCGTGCAACAATATCCCGCCCCCCTCCCCACGCAAGGGTCAACCTCCACCGCCCGGCCGCTCGGACAGTCCGCCTTGCCTTGCCTTGTGGGCTCCTAAGAAAGCTCAATTCGAATAAGGTGGAGAACAGACCTCAATTTTAATAAAGACGGAGGAAACCGGGATCATCCCTGGCCCACCTATCTTGCAACAATTCCCCCCCCCCCTTCCTAAAAGCGTGTCGCAACCCCAATCTCCTGCTCTCGCCGCTGGGCGGTCCAACTCACCAACAAGCGCAGTTGCTGCACCAAGGTGGAGCTGGGCGCCCGCGCGCCCTCCGCGATCTCGGACAGCATCCACTCCGCGTCCAGGCCCTCCGGGCCCCCGCCGGCCCTGGGCGGCCGGCCTGTGACCGGCATCCCGGGTCGAGCCGCCCCAGACCCAAGCCGCAGCAAAAAATTGCGAAGGGGCAATCGATCCGATGATTTGATGAACGGTCTGGGGGAATCAGCCGTGGGTGGATTGGCTCCTGCGCGGGGTGAGGGAAAGGGAGAAAGGGCAGGGAGGGCGGGCGGGTGGGTGGGTGGGTGGGTGGGCGTGGGTAGTTTGCGAGAAGAAGTGGAGGTGGAAAGGGTGAGGTGCTGAGCGGGAGGGGGGATACCCGTCACCTAAGGGGTTCGAGGTTTCACCTCTCCTAATAGGAGACGTGAGACGGAAGGCCGTCGATTACTGGAATTTGATGGATGGCAACCAGTCAGTCATTGAATTCCCAGGAGAGATCGTCGGCAACGCCATCGCGGCAAGTGCATGCACTAGCACAAGTGCATTGCAGGAAGCGACCCTGCGGTGATGCGCTTGGCTCAGGCACTATGCCGGAGGCAGCCATGGCTTTGGGCTTGGAGACACGGCTGAGGGAACAGAGACAGAGTGATCGCGAACAGGCATGTCCTTTATAGTCCTACACCAATCCGTCAAGCATGGACCAGTCACTGTCGTATCAACAGTGACCGGCCAAGAGTACGTAGGCTGTTAGGCTCCCCGGCGGGCGTGTGTGAGCCATTTACACTGAGCGCGATTCATCATCATCATTTTTACAGAACAAGGCAATGAGGTAGCCGTCAGCTTCCTGGGCGCGATCCGCAGTACACACTGTGGCGCGGCTGGAGTCACTTCCAAACTCGAACGGTCGATCATGCCACGGCGCGAGCACGCTACCTCATCATTGTGTCCTGCGTGTGTCCAAGCTAGCCTTCGCCAATCCCCACGCTTCCAACAAATCCCAAGAACACCAAACCTGCACCTTTCCGGAGGTGAGCCTCACAACCACGCCAGCAGGCAGGATGCTACGGAGAGCATCACTCCCAAAGAGCGCCATGCCCAACCAAAAATGTTACAACTGCGTCAACCGCCATGTAACACAGCCTACGCCCTACTGGAGCTTTTGCAGCTCTGGCCGGAAGAGCGTCTGCAGGTGCAGGTGCAATGATGGTGCCACCACAGTCCCTTCCCACAACCTCACAGGCTGTGTGGGGCTGCAGCTCTTCATCCCAGCGTCACAATCAACCCTATCTATTTGGAAGCTACTGCCTTGGCAACTGAATGCTTGCCAACACCTGCTCCCTTCACCTCCATTTACCCAGCGTGGTTTGATCAACGGTCGTTTCTTGGCCGCGGGTTTGCCTGCGAGACTTGGCACTGTCGCCAGATCGCAGTCGTCCGCAAAACAGCCCTCTCCCTCACCAATCCCTCCGTATGCCTGCCTACCCTCAGTCACAAAATCGCTCCTCTCCTGCCATGCCCACATTTTTTACACCCCAAACTGCACGTACACAGATGGAGGCAACACAGCAGTAATTTACACAAGAGCACAACCTTCTTCAAGCCTTCACCCCCCTCCCCCTCTCCACACACACACACCCTCTCCACACACACACCCTTCTCCACCCCCCCCTCCTCTCCACCCCAACCCCCAACCCCCACCCTTCATTCCCCCAATCCTTCAGTGACAGAACAGCTTCAACTTCAGGAAACTGGGGATTTCCGTGCGCAGGGTGATCAGCTCCTTCCTCGCCACCCTCGAGCACCTCTTGAAGCCCACACGAGAGAGGCAGGGCAGCTTCTCCAGCGACCTCATGCCCTGAGCGGTCACCGAGCCGCAGTACCCGAACACCAGCGCCCTCAGGTTCACCAGCCGCGACAGGCTGTGCAGCC